CAGAAGCATGCTTCAGGAAGATAATTGTGGCTGCAACAAGTCAGGGAACAGTGTGGTGCTGTTCTGGTCAGCCGCACAGGGATCAGCACAGAGTACTACCGGTCTACCTGCAGGGGGCGCGCTGTGGGGCAGAACACACTCCCTGCCTCCTTCCTGGCCTCCCCAGCTCTTCTCTCGAAACTCAACTAGCCTGCCTAGATGCGACCGCCTCTGGCCTCGGCTAAGTCTGTCTGGACAAGTCCCATACGTCATATCCGCTCTGACGTGAGCCTGGCGAGGTTTGAGTGGGGCGTGAGCTGGTGACACCTGCGCCTGCGCAGCGAAGACCTAGTCGGGAGATAATGCCGAGATTGGCTAGGGGTGCCTTGCGTCCTCAATCGCACTCTTAGTAGTTCTGCACGACTGTCTCTCTCTTCACAACTATAGGTGTTTAATTTTGTTCTTGGCATGCTCCTTGTCTGACCTTAGCGGCGCCAAGCCTCGAGGTCGCTCAACTGAGAAGCGTTGACACTTTTCACTGCAATTTCCCTCCAGCTGTTTGCTCTCAGTCTGTGGCCAAAAACTTTCAAGATAATGAAAAGATGAGCATGCCCAGCCCAGGCTATAATTCATATTCCTAGGACTTGTTTCCTTCTGCAGTCAAATCAGAAACTTGGGAATTGGAGAGACCTTGGACGCCAAGTCCAATTTCTTAACCCTCCCACATCCCAAGTGCGTGACTGTGCGGTTTTTACTTGCACACCTCTGGAGATCGCTCATTCCTGAAGGTCAACTGACCATTCAGTATTCCTTCTAAAAGTTTCCTCCAAATAACTCTCCCAAGAATATTTATTGGATGCCTACTATGTGCCAAACTGCAGGAATTTACATTCTGGTGGGGGAGATTAACTAAAAATGGTGGCTGTGATTAAATTCTAGCAAGGAAATACACAGGGTTCTGGATAGAAAAGGAGTCCTGGTGTGGCGCTGTGGGTTAATGCGCCAGACTGCAAAGCCATTTGAACTGTAAGGTCGGTATTTCAAGCTCACCAGCTGCTCCTCGGAAACCCTATACAGGGTCGCTATTGGTCGGAACTGACTCGATGGCACTTAACAACAACAATGGTAGAAAAATACCAGGGGGAGGGGAGACTACTTGGAGTGATCAGAGAATGCTATTGGAGGTGGTGAGGCTTAGAACCTATCAGGTGAACAGATGAAAGCAGAGTGAGTTCCAGGTTGAGGGAAGAACAAAGCCCTTGAGGCAGGAAAGAGGTTGGTGTTTTCTAGGAATAGACAGAGACCAGTGTGACTAGAGAGTGATGAGCCAAGGTTGAGAATGATGAGAACAGGCTGAGAATACAAACAGGAACCAAATGCACTGCTTTGTGGGCCATGAGCAGAAGCTTGAAATGGAAAAGCAATGGGATACCAAGGAAGGGTCTGGGGCAGAGACATGATCTTGGTTCAATCATTAAGTATCACATAAACCCCATTTTCCATATCACCACCCAAAAACCCACTGCTGAGTTGATTCTGACTCTGTTGACCCACTAAGACCGAACAGAACTCCCTGTAGTGTTTCCAAGGTTGTTAATAAAAAAGAACATGTTAAACTGAGCAATCATTGAAGTTCTCAAGGATTTCATGTTACCTGGATCCACAATTAATGCCCATAGGAGAAGCAGTCAAGAAATTTGCATTGGGCAAATCTTCTGATAAAAATCTCTTGTAAGTGAGAGAAAAGCAAAGATGCCACCTGAGAGCTAAGGAGCACCTGACCCTAACCATACTATTTTCAATCACCTCATGTATATGCAAAAGCTGAACAATGAATAAGGAAGACTGAAGAATTGATGCCTTTTAATTATGGCATTGGTGAAGAATATTGACTATAACACAGACCACCAGAAGAATGAACAAATGTGTATTGGATTGTTCCTTAGAAGTGAGGATGGCAACACTTTGTTTCATGTGCTTTGGTCTTGTCATTAGGAGGGACCAGTCCCTGAAGAGAAACATCAAAGAAAAGGAGGAAGACCCTTACTGAAATGGACAGACATAGTGGCAGCAACAATGGGCTCAAAGCATAGCAACAGATGGTGCTGGCCCAGGGAGTATTTCTGTCTTTGTACATAGGGTGCTATGAGTCAGAACTGACTTAGTGGCACCTAACAACACAATAGTACCTTTATAGTTGCAGACTGCCACATCTTTCTCCTGCAGAGCAGCTCATGGATTAGAACTATCAACCTTTTAGTTACCAGCCGAGTACTTTAACCACCATGCTACCAGGGCTTACTCTATTTCATACCCACTGTCATGGAGTTAATTTGGATTTTTAGTGACCCTGTATAGTTTCTGAGTTTGTAAATAGGGGAGCAGAAGGCCTCATCTTTCTCATGTAGAATGGCTGGTGGATTTGAACTGCTGATCCTGTGATTAGCAGTCCAATGCTTAACTAAGAGATTCCTTCTCATGCCCTCAACTCCCTCCATGATTCCTCTATTCCTTTCCAGAGTTTATGAATGAAGTTCAAAATGTCATTCTGAACCCTTTGGTGATAGTTGTGGTGATTTGCCCTGGAGTCGGTTCTAACTCATAGTGACCCAGCGTAGGGTTTCTGAGGCTGTAAATCTTTACAGGAGCAGAAAGCCTCATCTTTCTCCTGTAGACTCTTTGATAGTATGAGAAACTTTTTCATGTAAATCATTTTAAAATAGAAGCTTCTAAAGACTTCTGATCAGTTTTAAGGTCCTATAAAGAATCATTTCTTATCACTTCTCATCAATGTCAACTTGAACCCTGGCAACTTCTGAAAACTTTCTTATCTGTGAAGTGAACACAATAGGGTTGCTATGAGGATTAAATGAGATGATGCTCAAAAAGTGAATGATATACTATGAGGTGCCTGACACAGAGTGCTGTTGTTTATATAAACACCTACTCACAACTCACTATAAGGAGTCCTGGTGTGGCGCTGTGGGCTAATGCGTCAGACTGTAAAGTCCTTTGAAGTGCAACGTCAGTGATTCAAGCTCACCAGCTCCTCCTTGGAAACCCTACACAGGGTTGCTATGGGTCGGAATTGATTCCACGGCACTAACCACTCACTACAAACACACCTACTCACTGTAATAGGGAGCTCTTATAGCGTATTGGTTACGGATCGGGCTGTGAACTGCAAGGTCAGCAGTTCGAAACCATCAGCTGCTCCACGGGAGAAACATGAGGCTTTCTGCTCCCGCAAAAATTTACAGCCTCAGAAACCCTGTACAGGGTCACTATGAGTCGGAACCGACTCCACGGCACATTACCACCACCACCACTCACTATAATGGGGTCCTGGTGTGGCGCTGTGGGTTAATGTGCCAGACTGCAAAGCTGTTTGAACTGCAAGGTTGGCGATTCAAGCTCATCAGCTGCTCCTTGGAAACCATATACAGGGTCGCTATGGGTCAGAACCAACTCAACAGCGCTTAACAACAACTCATTATAATATATAGTTTGAAGATGGAGTCTCTTCTCTACAACCATCCCTGGGATGAAGGTGTAACTTAGAGATCCCTGCTTCTTCAGCGTTCCACATTCAGTAAATGTATATTCTGTGTAAAGCACCTAGTGAAAAAGATGCCTTCCAAGAGTTATCTATTATCTAGTCAAAATAGCCAGAAAACATACAAAACATGATAGAATGTATTTTTAAAGCAAATAAAACGAGCTTCCCAGTTTTTGCAAACAGTGCAACACATGCTTTCCATCCGCATTATATGCCTGTGTGTGCTAAGTGGGTGTGTAAATATGTGAAAAATACAGTAATGGACCCTGAGAAGGAGAACAAATAAACTCTGGGATTTGGGAACTTGATAAAAGGTTTGAGTTGCCACTGGAGAACTTCACATTTTAGTTAGGTTTGAAAGATGAATAGATGGGATCTAAAAACACAAACAGAAAAGCAATACTACACTTACACATTTTGGCCTAGATTGGAAACGTTGCAATCATATCTATCACATTAATATTGAGCAGTAGATTCCGCGTGACAAGAGTATTATTGCATGCTCTGGGAAGTCCTTATTTTTTTGTTCAGGAACAAAGTGCACACATAAACACCTCTTTACAAAACGAAAAGCCCAAGAGCTTTAAGAGAAGGTTGAGACCCTTCACGGTCCAAGTGACCACACAATGGGGGCCACTTGCTCGCCACTGCTGGATCCTACCCCCTCCGGGCCCCACTCCGCCCGCGTCGGGCTTCTAAGGGCTTCAAAGCCCCGCCCCTGCAGTCCCGAGGGCTCAGCCACAGCCCGCTGGGCGCCCGCCCTCTCTCGCGTTTCACTCCTCCTCCACTGGCAAGCAGGAAAACCCGGAGCGAATTAGCCCAGCCCGGCGGCGCATGCTCAGTAACGAGCAGGTTCAGTTCGCAAGTAGGAAGCTCCAGCACTACACCGGCGTCGGCGGCGGCCGCGGCGGCACCTTAGGGCAGCCGGATTCTCAACAACGACCTCGAGCCCTTCCTTTCCCCGCTAGACCCCTAGCCCCGGCTCCGCCCCGAACAGGGCCTCACGCTTTTGAGGTCCCTGCTGTGCGGAGCCAGCGCCGCGGCCGG